TATGTATCCAGACAAGATATAGCTGGATTAATAAAATGGAGCAAAATGGGGAGGTGAAAAATATGTTAATCAATCCCAATTATCTGACGTGAAAGCCAGTTGATGACGTCTATCTTCTTTGTATATCACATGTCGCAATAAAGTTGATAATACCGAAATTTGATTCATTTGTCATTGCACGTTCAACGATAAATATGATACAACTATAACTTTAGAAAAACAATAAAGTAACTTATTTTGCAAAATAATGATTAGTATATTTATATAATAAATCTATACCGAATTATATAAAACTGACTAACCAAATTAAAATGTGCTATGTGCAACGTGATTGAAAAGTATATTATTTTCCACGCTTAATATCGCACTTCTAATGCGACATTGTCATCAACTGCTGCCTTTACTCCATGGCTGTTCAGTGGCGGATGCAAACATCAAATAGAAGCAATTCGTAGCCATATTTATTCCCGCTGCCATCCAGAAAACTGTATGCCAACGTGCGAGGGTTTCCTGTAATACAAGAGAAAAAATAATGTACATACATTTTAACAAATGCTTGAAACGAAAAATATGACATATGACAAATATACTAACGTGTCCCTCTACTATACTGCCGATAACATATGGTGCCAAGAAACCACACGCGTTTGACGCAGCATTTGTTAATCCGTACAAGGTACCCGCATAACGTGGTGCCAATGCGATGTGATTCATCTGATTTCCAGCATATACCGCACCCTGAAGAGAGCCCAATCCGGCAAGCATCAACATCACCGTCATACGATCGCATCCGGCCCAGATAGCACCGACAAAACTGAGACTGGGCCCCAACGAGGCCACCGTGTTCCACAGTTTGAACGAGGCCAGGGGTGAGATCAGACGACGAGCCAGGAGTGCATCCGCGAAACTCGAGATACAAAGACCCACTAGCCAAGCGCTCAAATATGGTAACGCCGAGAGAAATGCGTTCTGCTGTACGTTCAGATGCAAAATTTTATCCATATACGTCGGCAGCTCGGTCAGAAGAGTGTAGAAGGCCCAGGACTGACCGCACTGTGTAATAGCAATGGCCCATATAGGTAGAGAGGTGAAGACAGACAGCCAAGGTACTCCAGGGTCATCGTTCTATTGTTTAAAATTTGGTCATTAAGTCAAATATGATAACTTCGCAAAAATATTTATATATTAAATGTAACACTGACCTCGTCTTTTTTCTCGACGCTAGCTTCAATATACGCTTTTTCGGAAGGATCAATGCTCGTGTGTTGCGAAGGAGTATCGTATATAAATATCAACCAGAACACATACCACACGAGACCAAGACCACCAAACAGATAAAATGCAAGGGGCCAACCGCCCCATAATTCTAAAGAACATAGCCAACCACTCACTGGTAATGAGATGACAGTTCCGAAATTCGAACCTGAGAAAAATATCGTAATCCTTGAATATTTTTTTACCGTTAAAAGGCAAAGACAAACAAATTACCTGCATATACTATAGCGGCAAATTTACTTCTTTCTAATGGAGGTACCCAATGTGCCAGCATACTGTGCATCGCAGGAAACGTTACCCCCTATATATCACATATAAAAAGATATTATTTTCCATAGACATTTATAGGCATGTTGTGGAAAGTAAGATATTTACCTCGGTAAATCCTTCTGCGACTCGTACAACCAAAAATGGAACCAAACCCCAATACGCAGCGAATGGACTTATCACGGTCAGAACAGCAGTCAGAAACACTCCCAGACCATAAATTAATTTGCCACCTATTTTCTCAGCCATCCTACCACCTGGAACATTTGTAGTTACATAGCCAAGAAAGAATGCACCTAATATGATACCTTGAGTCTTTTCATTCCAGGCAAATTCTCCCGCGCTCTGAAATAAGATTGAAATTAATTTCAGAATGTACATTAATAAAAAATACAATATACGAATTCATCTCTACAAAGATCTAATTAAAGAGTTGGTGTGCCACATTTTAATATATTATAAATTAAACCAATATTTAAATATTTAAATATATATTAAAAATTAAAACAATAATTTAGGCATATATTTCTTTTGTTCAAATACTAATATAAAGAAATTCTTTTATTAAATAGTGTTTGATGATAACATTAATATTTAATGAAATAAATTAAGAAGCAACAAAGAAATTATATCAACAGATTCATAATAAATATCTCATTATTTAATTTGTACACTATCCCATACATTAGATTTCCTGTGACAAATGTTGAGATATTAATGAGATGGACAGACTCATATCAGTATCGTGCATTAATACAAAGAAGAAATAGTATAGTGTATGTACGTGTTACATTTCAAGTGTGATAAGTTTAAATGACTAACGTCACACGATAACTAGTATCTAAATAACGTAATAACAAAAATGATATAAAACAACTTAAAAAGTAATATGATATAAGAAGTAATATGATAAATACATAGAGTAATGATGTGGAAAATAATAATCAAGATTCAGATAACCACTTAAAGAAAACAATGATAGATTTACCGGTACGAAAGTCCCATTTATCGGTTTAGTTTTAGGACAAACGTCGCTAGTATCATTATCCTCGGTATGCGGTATTGCAGTCTGATTAACCATAGAGACGATGGCTACTGATAAATTCACCCTCATAGCATATACAAGGGCAAAGCCAAGAAAGCCCAAAAAACCGAGAGTGTGACGCGCTTTGATACATGATTTAGTGTCTGCTGGAATCTGCAATGTGTTAACTGAAAAAACATTACAATGTGAGTATATATTATCGATAGAAAAGTTAAAATATATTACTTATGAATAATCTTGAAAGAGAATGGCAAGACCTTCAATTACATAATTTGGCTCTTCCAGCTATTCTAAAAACATTTAAAAAATTAATTTGCCCTAAGAAAAAATGTATCAAATTTTAATAAATATTTGTTTGAATAATACTAACTTAACATTTATTTACAGTAAATAAATATATTTACTAAATAAAAGAATGATAGTTAAATGAAATTTTAATGGTTCTTGTACCAAATAAACATATACTTATTAAATATTCAATTAGTACTATTCAAACAGATGTTTATTAAAATTTACTACATTTTTCTCAATGTATGTTAAAGAAATTAAATCTGTGTACATGAGATATTAATTGACAGCTGTCTAAACGGATCCGTCTAAAATTTCTTAACAGCTGATGCATTATTGTAATTGCAATCACTCTAATATTCCCAAAAATTAATTTAATACGTTTAAAACAATAATCAATTCTTCATTCTTCTCTTACTCTTGTGAAATGGCAGGGTAAGTAAATAAAAAGTACGGACGTAACTTGCTTTGGCACAAAATAAATCTGACGTACACGCGCATTGACGTCTCTCGCGAGGGGAGGAGGCGGGAAGATGAACAAGGTCACAAGATCAACGCTATAGATAACAGATCGTTTTCACTTCCGCGATATTCACGAACATCTGTCCCGCGTCATTGTCGAATTGCTCACGTTATCGTCCCTTTGTTTCCAAACAATGGCAATGCACGCGGAGTATGTTGACTGTCTCTCGCGGGTGAAGATAACAAACGTATAATTATGTGAACGAGGACGACGCATAATGATATCGCAAAAAAGGTGTTCGACGAGATGTTTTCTGCGGATTACCTCGCTCCAGAGAATCGTTGATACATAACGGCTGATCGTCCCTGGAGACGCTCGGGTCCAGGACTTCCATGATGCCGTCCTGGATCGTTCTGTTCTACAGCGATCCCGTACTTTGGCGATGACTCACTGCCGCGCCAGGCATAAGAAATGACTCTTTTCCGTTCCCTCCAGCGCGTCCGCGCGGTAACAGGTCGTTACGGCCGCGTTGCGACCGTAGTTCGAGTCTGCTGTCAACTTGATCAGCCTGTCATCCGCGCGGAACGGAGCACGGTATACATGCGAGAGAGTGGGACGGTGGGATAGATCCTGGACATGCGCAGCATGAGAGTAGACAAGAATACAGCCTGAGAATCAATTGTGTGTACCTTGAATTAATGAGGTGAAAATTACAAAAGCGAATTTATTAAAATATTTATAATTTCATTAGTCATCTAGTGAATTTACTCACTTTTGTAATTTTCATCTTGTTTTAAGATACGCAATCGTGCCCCTATTCTTTTCAGTTAAATATGATATATTTATCTTTCCCAGCTTTCCTCTTTTTCTCTTCATATTGGAGAAAAAAAGAGAGAAAATAATAAACAGTACAAGAAGTTTAGCAAAGAACGGTCTATTGACTTATATAAATAACTGACTTTAGAGAGATAGACCAATAAGATAAACTATACGTTTTTTAGATAAAGAAAAATAAATTTAAGTAAGTTATATAACATATATATCATGACTCAGGCATGAAACCTAAAACACCGATATATATACCGTTTTAGTATTACTATAAGTGTGCAATAAATATTAATTAAAAATTATATATTTCTTATAATGTTGAATAATAATATAATCGTGATATAAAAATTATTTATACAGTATCATCAATGAAAGTTACAGGAATAGCAAATTTGAAGAAAAAATGTGCAATTGTAATAATATAATTATTATACTTAATTATATATTAACATTATTATACAGATCTTAAAATATATAATTTATATGATGTTATAATTTTTTATACTTTTATTTGTATAATTAAACATTATTTAAAATTTTTTTGTATAATGCATACGCGTACTTTCTACTATTTGTAATTTACAGAATTTTCTTATTAATTTTTATATTTGCATGTATATATCCTAATTTTATAAATGTTTTTTGTATTACATGATAAGTAAAATTTTCAATCAAATTTTATTTCGATTCTATTTATTTAATTATTATTTATTTTCATACATTACTGATTTTTCTCTCTTCCCCCATCTGCAAACCAATTCATAAATGCGACTATTATCGATATCACTGGAAACTGCTGGAAACCTCAAAAGAATGCCATCGCAACTAGATGGTGCTAGTGCTGTCGCTTGTACCGCGCCTGTCCATTAAATAAATATTCCTTATTTCGTTTTTGTTCTTGTTTGTTACTTAAATCGCTCTATCGCATAAAACTCGAAGAAAATGAACCGTCATCCGAATACTGACAAAAATCGCAATGAGCCACAGGTGGAATTGGAGAGTCAATTTATTATGCGATTACCGCCGGTATGTTTCTCATATTGCTATTTCACTCAATCTGAACTTAACCTAATCCAAAATCATTTAGATGAATTAAGAATCAGGGATTATATATCAATTTTCCTTTTAAGGAACCCGCTAGAATACTGAAGGAAGCGTTACGTAATAATTTGCCTTTAAAAGACAGACTGACTATAAAACTGGAGAACGATATGCGTTACGGTGAGGTTAGGCTTGACCATTGGTTACTCCATGCTAAGGTAAATTTTTCCTATCTCACACTATTCATTCTAAATTACTGTGGGAAAATCACTCACGAAAGTGGACTTATGCGTTTGATAAATTATTACTTAGGTTGTAGACCTGCCGACAATAGTGGAATCCTTAAAAACCATCGATAGCAAAAGTTTTTATAAGACTGCTGATATATGCCAGGTAAAACGAGAAGAATATCGTAAATATCGTTAATATAGGAAATGAAGAGTTTATATTACATTATTTTCTTGTAACGTTTCTTCAGATGGTAATATGTAAAGAAGAGGAAGATCATCCTGTTACCGATGAAGAATCTCCTGTTAAACAGAAGAAAAAAGATCCGAACAAGGTGGATAAAAAATTTCTTTGGCCTCATGGTATAACTCCACCCACTAAGAACGTGAGACGTAGACGATTTAGAAAAACTTTGAAGAAGAAATACGTAGAGGCGCCAGAGATCGAGAAGGAAGTTAAACGTTTATTGCGAGTGGACAATGATGCTGTTAACGTTAAGTGGGAAGTGATATGTGAGGATGAGGATACATCGAAACCCAGTAAGGTGTCATCGTCTGGTACAGTTAAGACTAAACGAGAGAGCATAAATGGGAACACATCTCAAAGTTTGGATGTTGGTGAGTGTTAACTTATAATCAATTAATTAAGGTAACATTTATCTAAGTCCGAATACATGCATTATACAGGGTGTTTCCAAATTAAATGGCAAAACTTCGGGAGCGTGTAGAGGAGTAAAAAACTAAGAAAAAAAGTCCTATAGACATATGCTC